GCATGGACAGACCGGCCCGGAGGCCCGAGCCCGAAAGTCTGAAATGGTTACAAATAGATATTTTATTTGAATATAATATATTGATATAATATTCTAAATATGATTAATTTAATTAAAAAACAAAATTGTTCATGTGTTTTGGGTCAGGCCGGGCTTGGGCTTAGGATGTTGACTCCGAGCTTTGTCAAGCCCAGCCTGAACCTTGCCCGGTCCGGAGGATGGTTAGATGGTGGTTAGAGTACTAGACTTATTATGTGTGGTTGTATTTTGCTAGCTCTTTTTTTGTGTGGAGATCTTATGGAGGTTCCTAAACCACCGAACGGCCGTTACCGACACGAGAACGACCTGCCTCTATGTCATTGTCGTCACTTTCCTACTGGAGTTGGCTTGACCTTGTCGATGGCAGTCGACAAGTCTTCTTAGATGTGTCCCTAAGGACCAACACCCTGGAATCGCAGTCGTCACCATCGTCATTGAACCCTTGAATAGATCTGAAGCATTTGACACCAAATCTCGCCATCGAGCACGCACAACGAGAAATCTTAACCTTGTCTCCCCAAAGACTCGGGGAGGATCGGAGCTCGACAGACAATCTAGAAGAAGAAGCACCGCCATCCGTAGAGCCAGAGCTAAAAAAAATCTAACCTAAACTACTACCCGGAGCGGAGGCACGGAGATTCCCCTCCCCGCCACCAGCCAACAGAGCAATATGCAGAGGGAAGGTGAATCCACAAGCTTGTCGGAGAAGCCTGGAGACGAGAGTTCGCCCTAGTTGTTGACGCGGTTGGAAGGGAAACTTTTTCAAATTTGAGTTGTTATTGCCAGAAGAATATGAGGTGCTTGTGTAACTATTAATTTAACCCTTCGTCTGGTGCTCATAAAAATAGAGTGTATGTATGTGTCTTTGTCAGAATGAATGTACATACATTTTTATAAGCAGTTATGTCTGTATTTTATTTCTAAGAAAAGAACAATGCTACTTCCCAGACGCAGGGTAGGGAACGTAAAAACAGTATCGGTGCAGACCACTAACTCCTTCTTCTAATGTGGGCGCTTAATGTGGGCTCAAGACATCGATTCTGGTCTTTTCACCTGGTACCAGGTCAAAACTAGGGAAAATACTAGCGTCGGAGCAAAACGAGTCGTCAGACGCCTCATCCCTTTTTCTCTCACACACCAAAATCGCTGGTGACGAATGCTATCGTAGATGCCAGAGAAAAACCCAGGATTTATACTAATACGAGCACGTGCCTTGGGGAAGCAGATGCTTATGATTTTCTTTCATATTTTTCTAAAAATCGCTAGGAATGTACGGATAGATGTTAGCGTTGGAGGAAGGGACTACTACACAGATGCTACGTAGAAATTCTTTATGGACCCCAATATCCAGGGAATGTCAGATTTTTAGGGCTCCTAGTAAAAGCCCTCAAAGCCATCGGATAACGGTCAAACATATGGCAATTTCTCTGTGCAGCGTACCAATTTTTGTGCCATTTTTTTTTCTACATGACAAGTTTCAGCTTCGATCACGGCAATTTACTTAGGATGCTAATGGCAAGTTTGAAGCGTCCGCTGGAAAAAAACGCTCCCAGAGAACGTTCACCCGATAACGCTTCCCTTATTTATTACTAGTAACTTGTAATAATGCCTATATCCCTAGGCAAAAGAGGAAGTAGCTCACTAGGAGTCCCTCACTCCTAAACAAGGGAAAATTCTATTTCCTTTATTGCTCAAGCGCCTAAACAAGCGCTCAGCGTCGAAGATGGCCTTAGTGTGTTCCAAGAGCACCCGAAATGCAGCGAGACAAGACATCAGTTGTATTGATGGTACTTTTTTTTTTACGTGGTTGTATCCATAGTACTAGCACAGTAGCTTTTTAAGGCATTGTACGATGCAAGGTGCTTAGAGAAATAAACCAGGCTTTCTTAAGCACCGGTGTTTATTTGTACAGGATAAATGCTTAACTAAGCGTCTTTCCTGTAGAAATAGGCATTGGTGCTTCAGAAAAACTCGGTTTATTTTTCTAAGCACCTCCCTTTGTACAATGCCTAAGAGCAGCAGCACCAGTTGTGCGCCTCAAGAGAAAAGAACGGGGAAGGTGTGGTGTCGTGGAGGAAAGGAGACCGCCCACCATCTAGTTGACGGCTGAAGAGGCCGCACAAATCAGGACACTGTTTCTCGCTCCTAGGCCAACAGCAGTAGAGCCGCAGTGTAAGCAAACTGCGAAGCACAACATTCCATTGGTGCCACTCTTTTCACACATTTCGAGCTTCTTTGTTGGAGCCAAGGAATTTCACGAAAATCAGTTCGTTTTCCACGGCGTACAAACTTACAAAGGTTCATGCGTTGCAGACGGTGCCTATCTGTCTAATCCCCGTTGCAGAATGTAAACCGGTTCATGGGACAAGGACAATCTTCACAACACAATTCACACGGACCGCTGTGAGTGAGTCTTGCCTGTAGTTCTTCTGCCTGGCATCAACTTAAATCGACCTACATTTTTTCGCACAGGATCTGCGCACGATCGATCAGCAGGGCACACCCGATCTCAGACTCAGATCCTTCCCGGCAGAGAGCAACAAACACAACTCGATTTACAGGATCAGCTAGATATATATACGTAGATATATACCACACCATACACACGCATATACTATATCGTTGGGAACAGAGACGACACCTGAAAAATGTGCAGAAGCCTGCTGCCTCTCAGTAGCCCTTCCCACGGGGGTACTTGCCCCTGTTACCGCCCACCGACGGGCCGGAGAGCACCGGCAGCCCCCACTGCGACAAGAAGACGATGCTCGGGCAGGCATCCTCGGCGTGCGCCACGCTTGCATGGCGGATCTTGGAGGAGGGCTCGGAGACCTTCCTTGGCAGGAGGACCGAAGTGATCCTGCTCCACCTGAGCTTCTTGAGATGGAAGAAGCAGGAGCAGGCCGCCTTGCCGTTCAGAGACGGCAGCCACCGCCGCTGCCTGGGCCGCGGGGTGGCCCCGTCGTCCCGGCATTCCAGCCTCTGGTACTGGAAGAAGCTGCTCCTCCGGCTGCTGCCCGTGTCCTGCAGCCCCATCATTGCAGCTCAAGGGGAAAGGCTGCAACCTGCAAGGCCAAGATATAGTAGACTCTACAAGGAAGGAAGATGCAGATCATCTTGAGGACGGACAACACAGCAGTAGCTTGCACATGGAGTGACCCCGACCAAAGTGGTACGGCGCCGATAATTAGAAACATTGACACATGAACAAGAGGACAAAGGTCGCCCTAATGTTTGATTCCTTGTGCCACATGGGCCTAGCCACCCTCTCACATCCACGTCCCTTCCTCACTCACACCTCTCCCAAAATTATCTTGTGGGACTACGTTGGAGTATTTCCTGGTTGCCAGGAAAGCATGGTGTGTATCATGGCATCCGGACAAAGGAGGTAAAGTGTGGGAGCACAGATTTTGTTTCTTGTTACTCTTTTTGATGACTTGTCAGTTGCTATCGCTACTCAATCAGTTCTGTCTGCCACTGGAATTCCCAAGAATCTTTGCTACCATGGGCCATAAAAAGTGCTACTTTTGTCAAAGTTGTGAGATGGTACAAGCGGGCATCATGGAGTCTCAGAGGAAAGGGTACACCAGTTTTAAGAATCGTAATTCAGAGATAGGACTCAAGTACTTGTATGACTTCTCAAGAGCTCATGAACAATCAACCTGAAACTAACAGTGCATTAAAACACCATGAAACGGCTAAACCAAGGCTCGCACTCTACCAATATGGAGCCCGGTACACGTTTGTATCTGATACAACAATCACAGAGGCCATGCTAGTCTACTTGAATGAGAATTTCCAAACCTCCCTAACATTGGATGAACCATCAGTAACTTCAGCAAGCAGGTCCGATTGCATGGTACCTAAAGGACAATAAAAGAACCAGTAAAGCAAATGCATGGACACCACAACACATGCAACTCTTAACACAAAATTCACATCATGAATCCAAAGTCGTGCATCTGAGTGTAAACAGCTGGCGTATGGTTCTGTCATGTGATGCATTTAACGAAGGACAGTTTAATCCTCTCCTCCACATGCAGGATGCAAGTTCCTTTCCTATCTTATAAAACACATGTGCTTGAGACTCGGCTTCAAAGCAATAATGCACAGATCTTGACATGCAAATTCATTATAAACAACATGTAGTTTGGTAGAGGAAAAACACGAAAAAAAATCTGTGACCACTACTGTACAAAAAGTATTGACGTTTTTCTCCAACCTTTCATCATATCAGTGTGCAAAATATGCATGCCACTACAGAGAAAAATATGGGTACATGAATAAATATCAGATGGCTAACAAATTCTTACCATCTTCTCTAACCAAGCGTAGAAATTGCCTTGTGCCGCCACCTACACCAAAGTAATGCTTTTTCCCTGCCATATAAACTACACCACTAGGGTAGTGTAAGCACTGCAAAAGGTTTTAGAGATGTGAGCAACAATTAATATTTAGCAAACTAGAGCAATGGAAGAAAAAATAGTAAAGGAAGATCTTGCATGTTGACCTTCTTGACGAGCCTGTAGAGACTAGGAAGTGAATCCAATGCATAAACAGTCTCAGCCATCAGGATGATATCATAACCTCTACAGCCTTCATTTTCTGTGTGAAGATTGGTTGTTTTATCCTGGACAGCATCTCCGCGAAGAAGTAACTTGTCGATTTCACTCCAATCACCAGCATAAAAACCAACACTCCTAGATGTGAATGTTCCTTGAGATGATTCCTTCAACAGATTAGCTTTTACATTTGGGATGGTAAGGCACCTAAGGACCTCAGCATTGAAATCTTGGAAGTGAACTAGACCAGCACCCTGAAAGTTTGAAGTTTTAATAAATTGATATAGTTGAGGAATAATTTCAAAAATGCCAAAGGGGGAAACAGATTAATATACCTTCAAACCTGCATAGATGCCAGGGAGGCCATGCCCACATCCTAACTGAAGAATCAGAGAGATAGATAATGTAAGCAACTATCTGAATGGACCATTTTCTCAGCTTATAATTATCTATATCAACAACTCGTAGAAGACTTTAAGTAGTACAGTACTTTGTAAGCTAGATATCCTAGTAGAGTACTCCCTCCGTCCAAAAATACTTGTCATCAAAATGGATAAAAAGAGATGTATCTCAAACTAAAATACGTCTAGATACATCCCCTTTTATTCATTTTGATGACAAGTATTTCCGGACGGAGGGAATACATGATTAGCTGGAGAGAGAAGAGAGAAATTGCACCAAGAAAATATAGGCCAAATACATTCGGAAGAAACAAGATCTAATAAATATTTAATGGAACTTCCAAGTGTACACAATATGTTGACAATACATATAATCTTAGAGCAAGTATCCCACCTCTAGTACGTGTTTGCCTTCCATAAGCAATCGATCATCTTTGATGTCTGAATTTAGGGTTTTCACCAAGTCCAATGATCCTTCCCACAGCTTCAACCCACCTAGGACCCATGGAAATTGTTAGGTTCACAAGACAAAACATGCTGCAAATAACAATATGCATTCAGTCTTCACCTTCATATTTTCCTGGAACCAAATCAGAGTTTTTTACCCCGAAAACATCAGAGGTGTTAACTCTCCCCTAATAAATAGGATGAAGGAGGAGAACAGGTTAGTTTACGTCAGCATAAGAATCTAACAACGACGTGTGGAATATGGTGAAAGAACAGGAAAAGCTTTTATATAAAACTATTCCATATAAGTTTGGAATAGCAGTAGTTGACCTCGTGACATATTTGCTCCAAATGTGGATGGGTGCAATGTCATTTTGGCCCGAATTTCACAAGAAAAGAGTCAATGCGTGGCCTAGAAAACTATTCCATGGCTAAAGAAGCAATATGTTTTCCTTTTCTTCATTTGGGGTCGGGGGAGAGAAAAGGTGGGAAGATTAGCGTATTCAAAATTCTGCAATGTTTCATGAAGTCTCCTATGTTTGAGCACCTGTATAGCTGAAACTCAAGTAAAGCCCCCAGGTGGTCAGGAGACCAACCAAAGCAAACTGACAGTTAATTGTGGTGGTACTAGTTTAGCAGCAGATACCGAAGCAGGTTTCCTAGAAGATGGCATTGAACATAGCAACCTGCCAGTTAATATTCCTAGTAAAGGCCTAGCAGGTAGTGAGAAGGCTAAGAGAAGTCTGCGGAAATTGTTTGGATCAGGTTTTCTTGACGACGGTGATGAAGCTAATGAATCTGAAACTCGGGTGGTGTCGGCTGTACAGGGAAATGCAGTGCAGCCTCTGTCAAATTGCAATGCTGCAGGCTTGTCTCACATCGAGCGTATCCATGAAGGTGCAGTCGGATACAGTGAGTTACCGGCAGATCAAGATGCCATCAGTATAGCTGAAACTCGAGAAAATCCCCCAGCAGGTCAGGTGATCGAACACAACAGACTGCCTGTTAACTGTGGTAGTATGAGTTTAGCAGCAGACACCGAAGAAGGTTTCCTAGAAGATGTTCCCTTGGTAAAGCATCAAGTATGTAGTGAGCATTAACAAACAGACTCACAATATTCATAATTTCATCGTTTCTTGATCAATCATAACCCTTATCCTTATAACATAGAAACACCAAATAGTATAAAAGTGTCTTGCTTTTTCTCCATACTTACAGATCCATGCCCAACAAAGATCATGACGAGCGAAGAATAAAATAAGGCTATTCAACGTGAATTCAATCTGTAGCAGCAGTCTAATCATACAAAGAAAACTTCTGTTGGGAAGAGGTACTGCTCAGGTACAGCTCCGAGGAGCGACATAGGGCGCCTGCCCTTGAACAGTCAGCCACACAGCACAGCAAGGTTGTGAGGCCCTATTGAGAACCGAGGTAGAATAAAGAATTTTGCTTATTTCTTGATTAATAATGCTAAACTGTGTCTCCTTTTAGTCCTTAACCTAATTCCATCTATGATCGCTCGGAATCTAATTAAATCATTACTTCCTGTCTTTGAGGTATTGCCATCTTACTCCACTTCTAACATCATGATAAACACTATCCCTACCTCTTTATTCTGTTGGAAGAGATTAGGGCCACCTGGCATGCGTGAACAATGTGCAGTGTACGCCACTGTTATGGGATGAGGTATATATATGCAGTACATGCAGGATAGCTGACCCTAATCTTAACAAAAAAAATCCTGGTAACTCAACTGAGGCTAATCTTAAACAACGGTGACTAACAAACAACACAGCTTACCAAAATAGAATATGTATATATTCCATTTTAAGGTCACAACAAATGTTGTTGCAAACTCCCTCATTTCCTGAACTCCAGGGAGATATTTGCATAACCAATAAAACAGGGGGAAAAGGTAAAATTTACCCATGATGATGTAGTAGAAGAAGTCCAGAACAAAAATACAAATGATTATTCTATACAACTTCGTTCATAGTCACAGAACCAACTAAGTGGAAAAGACTATAACCTGCACGAATTAAACAGGACTAGAGAATACATCCGTAACCACTATACAAATTTATAATCAGGTGTTTTCAAGTACGAGTATTTATCAGTGTAATTCACCTACAATTTCAATGGGGATAATCAAGCCATTAGATCAAAAGGTATATATGATAGCCAAGAAAACAAATGTACCTGAGCATTTAAGAACCAACATAGTCTCAAAATACTATGCTGTTTTTTATCAAATGTTGTTGACTGTTGTTTACTTGCAGAATTTCAGTCCTGATTTTAAATACAATCGAACATCGCATACAGCAGGCTGTTTTTATTAGCAGTAGCACAAGTGGTAACTACTGCAAGCTCCCTTGACAGTTCTGCAACAGCCAAAGAAACTCATTTGGTATGCTCGATCTTGATCCTATCATCCTCACTTCAGTTCGCACTTGTAATAGCTCTACGCTTTCAATGTAGCATAAAGCACGTATGCCACAATGGATGCAGTGGTATTTAAGCATTTCTCAAGTGTTTGCACTTTGCAGTTCAACTGGCATGCAAATGAGAGCTACTCCCCCCGTTCCAAAATAGATGACTCAACTTTGTACTAACTTTAGTATAATGTTGGGTCATCTATTTTGGAACGGAGGGAGTAGTACAGAAGTAAAATAAGCACCGAGGCTGCCAAAACATAAAGCCGCCCTAATGTTTGCATTGCATGCTCAATGATCAACTGATCATCGTGCCATTCGTCATGCGTCATACGCGGTTGCAGAGTGATCAAGTAATTGCATACATTATGGCCCGTCTTTTTCTTGTACACCGGAATCCTAGCATACTCTACAGTTCTTGCTGGACTACAGAGCGACAGAGGCATTTCCGCAAACACAAGGTGGGCATTTCTGAATCGCACCTTGTAAATCGAGAGGGAGTCGTCGACCACCACAGGCTCCAAGTTGCCGGCCGCGACGGGTGATTCCTGCAAGGCAAACAAAGGAGAGATCGAACCTTGCGCCGGGAAGAGCACGGAGAATAGCAAGAAGAGAGAAATACCTCGGAGAGGAGGACCTCAACAGCTGGCGGCGGAGGCGGATGGGGAGGGCCGGGCGCGGCGCCGAACCCGAACCCGAAGGAGGCGCTGGGGTTGGAGAAGGAGAAGAGGGGGGATGCGGGGGTGGGTTTCTTAGCCTCGGTCTCCTCCATGGCGTGTGGCAGCTCTGTGTGTGTTGCCGAAAGACACGGCTCGCGACGGCGGGAAGGGCGCCACGGCGGCGTGGCGGCGGAATACGCGGGGGATTGGATGATTTGCCCCACTTTACAAAGGGTTGCATGATTTGCCTTTTGATTATCTCAATGACAGTGGCCCCGAGCCCCATCTGGTAGCCTTTTAGAGGGGGCAAATTATCCAATGGAGAAGTAAAATGAGGCAAAAGATCCAATTTCTCGGAATACGCGAGAGGAGGTGGACGGGTGGGGATGCTTTGGATGGATGTTTGGCCAAATTTCTTGCAAAATTTTACCAACCAGACAAGGATTTTTTTTTTAATCTTGTATTGCCAACGTGGCAACAAGTCGATCTGAACTTGTTCATCCTTAATTCCGGTAGGTTGAGACTCTAAACAATTTGAGACGGCTACTATTGACGGCCCCTAGCGTAATATCTAGGGTTTGCTTATCCTCCATCAGCACCATGTCATATGTCTTCGAGAGTTTTTCCGTCCTTCGTTCTCCCTCCCCTGGTGCTTTCCTATTCCTAAGTTCTCTTTGGCACAACTTTGCTCACGACGGCAAGAAACATGGGCGAGAAAATCGATTTTTGGGTAGGTCTGCTAGGCATTTAGTCGAGGCTCTTCGGGAGGGGGTGCATTTGTAAGAAGAAGACTAAGCAGAGTTTGTGTGGGAAGAAGAAATCTCTAATCCACTGAAGAAGGCAAAGTGGCTATCGACCGCCAAGGTCCATGGCTGGGTTTAGCCCTAGCGCCTTCTTTGCGGACTTCATGGAATTCAGTTAGGGAAATCTTATGGAAGAGTGGGTGAAAATCTATTCATAGTCTAATTCGGATGCTTAGGAGATTGTAATGAAGTAATGAATATGGTGTCGTGGTTATTCAGGAATCAAGCACTTCTTATCTCTCGGAACAGACTTTCACCCTGCTTTATATAAAAAGCAACAACCAAATATAGTACACGGCCGAGCGATACAAGATGATGGAGTGGACGTCATACAATGTCGATCCCAGGATAATCGGATCACGCGAGATGCACGCAACTTCGCTGTCGAAATAGAACAATGGAACACCTGAGTACAATGCCACACAACACCCTAGAACACCTAAACTCCACGACAATGCCCTTAGGAGGGAGAGGAGCAAGAATGTGATGATTCTAGACTTCTTATTGAAGAATGTGATGGTTTATTAAACCCTCGCCCGGTGATTCTAGACAAGCTCCCGGTATGGGGGCAGGTTCACAATTCACCAGGTGATTTCTTGAAGGATCCGACCATTAGAGGGATGCTTGGGCACATGGGCGATACAATGAGGTTCATATCAAGCTCCCAACGAGGTTTATTGTCGAGTTTGTGCGAGTACCTACGAGAATCAAGGTGAAAAAGAACTCGCAAGATTTGTGTCCACAACAAAGAATCAAGGGAAAGAACGATATCAAGTAGAATATGAAAAATTCCCCACTTTCTATGGCAATTGTGGTCTCCTTGGGCATTGGTACCAAGAATGTGGAGATGGTGAACATGACGAATCAAGCTTGGGGTGTCATGACATCATTCTTGCAGATGGCGATCGTGGCAGAGGAAGTGGTTGAGGCAGTGGTCGGGGGTTACGACTATTGGGAAACATAGTAGAAAACAAAAAAAATATGTCCTACAATGAAACCAAGAACACTATGAAGATGCATTGACGGTTTAGATCAAATCATTACCAACTCCGAGTTGTAGCGGAAGAAGAGTCGACGTAGAGCATACTTGAAGTACCTCAAACCGTTTACAAATGATCCCTCGAACGGAAGACCAAAAGCACGGCCTCTCCATGGTTTGCAAGCATATTGTCTTCATGATCTGGCAGCGCTTCGCCGTCCAGAGCTAATCGTCACCGAAGAGTTAGAGGGAGAAGATCATAACCATATGTGATTCTAATTATGAGGACTAGAGAGGATTAGATCTAGCTCTATATGGATCAACTAGAACTAGAGAACTAGAGGAGGCTCAAAACACTTGTCTCTACAAAGGCCAAAATCATCTACTATATATAGGTTGAAGGGAGAGAGAGGGGTGGCTGACTTGGGAAGGGGTTTCCCTCCCCTTGCGCTGGCCTAGGGGCTGGTGGAGTCCAACTCCACCTCCCCAATTCGCCCCCCTTGGGTGCTTCCACTAATGTGCCCTAGGGCTCACTAACTCTCCCCTAATAGGCCCTTTCTTATTTTCTTTAGCCCATTGACTATCAATAAACTCCAGGGGCCTCCTAATCATATTAAAGCCCTTTATAATTTATATTTAAGTCCTCAGAAACAATTTCCATCTTATATCGATTCCCATTATTACCCTGGTAAACCCCAAAAATCTTCTGGTGACTTAGAAACGCTTACGGTTCCTATCGAAACTATTTCGAATATTAATGAAAAAATATTTTCTCACAACTCTTGCTCCAGTAACATTCAGCAGATCGTGATTCCCTTAAGCTTATGGCCCTGTAGGTTCGATAAAACATAGACATGAACAAAACCCTTTCATTCAATGACCGATGTGGAACCGTGGGCATCCATATTGATCCCCATGAATACAGGAATGACATTCGAATGAAGGTTTGGTTATCATGTGTTGTTCCCTTTGCTTCTCGATAGTTTACAAAACCCAAGATGAGATGTATTGGTATCCTCATGAGTCATTCTCATGCTCACTATACCGTTCTCCTTGTTGCGAGTTTTGTTCTTCTTTATCGTTGACATGTTCTGGCATCCCCATGATCTAGTCACCTGTGTCTGGCCAGGCAATGAAGGATGCCATCACACGAAAGGGCCCTAAGAACATCTCTCCATCGTTGGAGGAGAAAATTCCACTCTCGAGCTATCGAGCCCCTTGTCAAACTTTTCGATGAACCTGGAAGTTCTCGCTATGGTCACCTGGTTATAGATGATGTTTGAGCAACCCCAAAGCTCATTGTACGGTAAGAAGTGACTACGATACGCTCATGGTCTAAGGAACAAAAACACACGTTAACGCGATTGTCACTGCTTATGGACCCAAACCTGGGTGATCTATCCATGACCAGGATGAAGCTTGGATGAAACT